TATTAAATATTAATTTTTCATCACGAACATCATCAATGGATGTTCAAAGAAATTTTGAATCTAATGTAGAAAAACGTGCTAAAGATACATATGGTCCTCCTCCAGGAAAAAAATTGATTGTATTTATTGACGATCTAAATATGCCGAAAGTAAATGATTATCATTAAATGATTATTATTAATATTTAATGTAAATTTTTTTTGTTCTCTCAGGTCGATGTCTACGGTACTCAACAACCAATAGCATTACTGAAATTATTATTGGAAAAAGGTGGCATGTATGATCGCGGAAAAGATCTAAATTGGAAAAAATTTCAAGATATGGTGTTTGTTGCTTCGATGGGAAAAGTATGAATGAGTTTCTTTGTTATATATAAAGATTTTGTAGTGGAAGCATATTGTTTTGTAGCCTGGTGGTGGAAGAAACGATGTTGATCCTCGATTTATATCATTATTCAATGTCTATAATATAACGTTTCCATCAGAAGAATCACTCTTTCTTATTTGTAATTCGATACTTGAAGGACACTTGTTACCATTCGATAAAGAAGTACAAGGTATAGCACCAATATTGACACGAATGACAATGGAACTCTATCAGTAAGACAAAACAACAAGAAATTAATTTTGAACTATTACATACATTCGTCTATTTTCAGTTCAATAGTCAAAGATCTTCCACCAACTCCTAGTAAATTTCATTATATATTCAATTTACGTGATTTAAGTCGAATTTATAATGGTCTTGTATCAACAATACCGGAACGTTTTCAAACAGCTGCACAATTGACAAGAGTATGGAGAAATGAATGTTTACGAGTATTATACGATAGACTAATCGATTCACAAGATAGAAAAATGGTTGATGTAAGTTTAGCATGAATAACAACAACTTCCAATTAATTCGACATTTTGAAAAGCAGAATTTTGTAGGAGTCATTGTAATAAATTTAGATTTCTTGTTTCGATTAATTAGTAGTCCTTGGATAAAATGAAGTCTATCTAGTAATTCGATTGCAAGATATATATATAATGAGGAAAAGAATATACTTCTCTCAGATTTTTGTAATGATAATTTTAAATTGTAAAATGTTTTATGAACAATCGTTATGGAATCCATTATTTTGTTGTTAATTTTTTATTTTTTCATTTTAGGATAAACTTAGTCAACTGATAAATGATCAACCATTATTGAAACCACATGTAGAATACATATTTCGTCAACCAAGTTTATACGGTGATTATCGAACAGCATTGGATATCGGTGAAGCTCGAATATACGAGGATATTCAAGATTATGATGCAGCAAAAGCACTCTTCGAAGAAGTATGTAGAAAGAAATTTTATTTTCATTTAAAATAGTCATTTTTTTACTTTAATGAATGAATATTCCTTAGATATTACAAGAGTATAATGAACAATATACTCGAATGAATTTAGTTTTATTCGATGATGCATTAGAACATTTAACTCGTATACACCGTGTCATACGTATGGATAAAGGAAATGCGCTTCTCGTCGGTGTTGGAGGAAGTGGTAAATCATCGTTAACACGTTTAGCTGCATTTGCCGCTGGTTGTGAAGTATTTGAAATCAAATTAAGTCGAGGTTATAGTGAACCACAGTTTAGAGAAGATTTAAAAGTACTCTATAATAAACTTGGAATGGAAAATAAGAAAGTTGTATTTATGTTTGGTGATCAACATGTTGCAGAAGAAGGATTTTTAGAATTAATTAATAATATTTTAACAACAGGAATGGTTCCGGCACTCTTCGCTGATGAAGAAAGAGAAGGCATTGTTGGAAATGTAAGATTTTAATTTTTTTTTCATTTATATTTATATTATAAACAAACAAATAAATAAAAGAATTTAAACATATTTACAAAGACTATAATATGTTTAGATTCGTGATGAAGCAATGAAAAATGGTGCTAGTCCAGCAAAAGAAAGTATTTGGCAATATTTTATAACAAAGTGTTCAGTTAATCTTCATGTTGTATTATGTATGTCACCAACGGGTGATACTTTAAGAACAAGATGTAGAAATTTTCCAGGTAAAATATTTCTTAATAAAATTGTTAGATGTCATACGTATATATTCTTAAGGTTTAATTAATAATGCAATTATTGATTGGTTTTTACCATGGCCTGAACAGGCTCTTTATGCTGTATCAACAACATTACTCGCCGAAGATGTAAGTATAATTATTTTATTCATATTCATTTTTCTTTTCATTTTACATTGGAATAAAAATCTTATAGTACAAACCTACTTCGTTAACAAAAAGTTATGTAAGTATATGGATGATTAGAACAAGCAAAATTATCTAAATTATCATACTCTTTTACATAATCAATAGACTCATTCTTTTCTTTGTGCTAGTTTTTATTTAATATATATAAATATACATATATATATATGAGTGAGCGAGCTGCTCTTCTTGAACTTCTTTAAAATAATTCAAAGTTTAACTGTTATAACAATTTAATGTTCATTTTTAGAATGAATTTATTCCAAAAGAATATCGTCAAGGAATTGTTACTCACATGGTCATGGTTCATCAATCAGTTGAACATTACAGTGAACAATTTGCCAAAAAACTTCGTCGACACAATTTTACAACACCAAAAAATTATCTTGATTATCTTACTACCTATTTAAAACTTTTAGAAAGAAAAAATAAAGAAAATTTAGCACAAGTATGTTTTGAAAGATATTTTAATATTTTTTCATTATTGTTTTATATATGTCATTTTATTTTCTAGCAACAACGTCTTGCTGGTGGTCTTGAAAAAATAGATGAAGCACAAATTCAATTGAAAGATTTAGATGCACGTTTACAAGTTCAACGT